GGCCTGGCGCAATATGGTTCATGGGGTCACGAAGAGTCGGACACGACTTAACGACTAAACAACAACAACAAGTCTCTCTCTTCCTCCCTCCCTCCTCCCTCTCTATTAGGCAAAATGCAAGGCTGAATTTTTAGTTTGCACATAACACCACCCAGATTGTGAGCTATGGCAGAGCTAAGAGGCAAGGATCCTGCCTGTGCACAATTAACTCTAACTGGGGAAATCACTTTTTAAAATTTACCCCAACAGGTACCCTGTTCCTTGTAACACTTGCACGACTAAATAAACAGATAAAATGACTCCAAAATGCTACATAGAAATGTCAGCTGATTTGCTCAGATCCATGTATGAAATTCAGCTTCTCAATCATTGATGTTTGGCCTTTTTTCTCTTAGGGTGCAAGCCACAATGGGCAGAATTCTCTTGTTAGGACCAAGATTCAAGACCTAAAAACCCTATGCTCCCTTGGTCCCAACTCTTGACTGAGTGCTTTCTTCATAGCCCCAACTATCTTGAATTGTCATTTGCTGAATCCCTGAGTTTCCCTACACTGAGCCATAAGGTGACCAATGTAGAACAATATTGTCAATACTAACTGATAGTGGCTGTTCAGATTTCAAGCAAAAGTATTTGCATCCCAACTTGGAAATGACTGCAGTTGGATTTGGAATTTTTCTCCATAAAGAGGTAATGTTCTACTGTAGAGCCCTAGCTTTGTGCCAGTCACAGTTCCACAGTGCTTCCTGGTTCCTTTTTTCTTCAATTCCACTTCTACATCATCCTTTCTTATCTCAGGTGCTCAGTTTACAGGCAACAGCTTATTTTATTCTATTTTCTATATGTATTATCTATGTTATCTTGAGTAGCATGAAGTTTTTTCACAGCTTTCTGTTTCATTAATGCTTTTGATCTCAATTGCTCATCTCCTTGGTCCTTCTACACAGGCCTCTTTCTTGTACTGCTATCCTTCCTCATTTATTTTTCAGTACATTGCCTGATTGCACCATTTCTTCAGCTTCCTTGCCTTGAGGCATCTTGTTCATTAGTTTCCTTTCTTCTCAGAATCTTTTTTTTCCCAACAGAACTAACACATTCCATTCCCTCCAACAGTTCCAATCCTGAATGGCAAATATTTTGAACCTTCAGAGCAGTAAAGCCAGTCAATATAAAAGTTTTCACCACCATCCATAAGTGCAACTGTATGAAGGCTATTACTTTTCCCCATGAAAATCTTTTTACTTCTCTACAAACCTCATCAAAGTTGGCTCTTATTACAGTATCAAGTATCCTCTGACAGTGTGTTCTGTACATCATTATAAAAGTAGATACCTGGAAGAATAAAAAAGAGGACTTCTTATTAAGGATATCTTATTTAAAACAATAACCTTTCTAGTATAATCTGTGATGACCTCCACTCCTAACAAATTCCTAGCAATGGAAAGAGGTGAAGAAGGCTAAGGCCTCAAGGCAGCAGAAACACTAGCACCAAGCTCAAGTCTCACACGCAGGAGCCATACATCTTAATCCAGACATAGCCCAACCTAATACCCATGTATCATGGTTTCCTGCAATCATCAAGCTACTAAAAGGGTGTCATCTTTGCCTCAGAGCCTTATGTTCCAGAAAGCCCACTTATCCCCAAATGTAGGGTTAGGGTTAAAAGCATTCGTATTCCTTCAAAATTCTGAATTCCTTAGCATGGGAGAAGAGTTCTGTCCTTGAGAAATTGTTGAAGAATTTCTCCTTCTCATGGAGAAATCCAGAGAAATTGTCCATCCAATTTCCCTGCTCAAATTTGGTGGTTGTTTTTTGGTCAGCTAAAAGCATTTAAGGGAGGAGGGAAGATTGGGGGCACAGTACTTGAGGGTGGGCTTGAGCCATTTGCTCAAATTAAATTATTTTCCCCACCGCCACATATGAATTGCATTTTATTCCTTCCTCAGAGTGGCTAGTAGCAGCTTTGGATTGCAATTAAGTTAGGGATATGATGCCAGGAGAAAGAACTGGTCCTGTGCCCTGTAGCACTAATCTACTTTCCCCTAAGCTGGTGTTTTGTTTTGTTTTTTAAACTAAAAAATATTGGGAAATTCAATCATGGATCTTTGACATCATGACTACTTTGAACCAATGCAGAAGGCACAGCCTCTTTCACATACAGATTACGGGACAAATACGGTAAATCAGGGAGAAATTATTTGTTTCAAGGACAGTGAGCAATCAAGCCCATCATAAATCAAGTCACAGTCTTCTTAAACTCAATCTTTTGAAGAGGCACTTTTTCATACTTAAGTTAGCCTTTCCTCAACAGAGAAAAAGCAGAGAGCAAAGCAAGCCAATGAATATTTTACTAGAGTCACCTTCTCTTCTGGCAAGCTGGCTGGCAGATTTAGATCTTTGACATTTGGAAATTCTGGCAGCAACGTCCCAAGTTTGGATCGTGGTGAATATGCCACTGTCTGTTTGATTACTTCTTTTTTTCCTGTTTCATTGACCCAGGCTGCTCCTTTCTTAGAATACATCACGTCATAATACTGGGAGCTTTCTTTCACTGCAATGCCATAGTAATGGTACCTGAAATGTTGAATACACACTTTTTTTAAAGAGAGAGGACTTGTTCACTCAAGTATGGTTAAAAAGGAAAATTGCTAAGAAAACAGACTCCATGCCAATTTGCAAGTTAATGCATGAGTGCAAATTCACCATCAGGGCATAAGTGTGATGTTTCAAGTGGTTAACAAGCTGCAGTTTCCATCCACAGGAGCACCCAGGGAGGTTCCAAACTGGCAGAGCCTGGTGCTTTTGCCTCTGTCCTACCCAGCTGTTCAGTAGAAACAAAGCCAGGGATACTCCTATACCTTCTTTTCTTTTGTGGGTAATAAATAATATATCATTGGGAATATGGCATTGTTTTTTTCCCCTTAAGGCTCCATATACATATCTCCATTTAAGAACAGCCATGGAGTTACAAATTTTAGTGCATGTTCTAACTGTAGGCTGGCAGCTATTCCTTTAGCAGTTTGCTGGCAGAGTTTTTAGCTGTTTTTATTACTAAGTACCATGGCATTGGGAAGGTTGAATAAATCACAACCTGTGGGTAATTTGTGGCCTCCCAGACATATTTTTGCTGTGCCACTAAGTTCATGCTGCCAACATTTAACAGACTTTAATAATGCATTTAAAAAAAAAAATTAAATAAAGTAATCCATAAAATAGGTGTATTAAGCCTCAAGTCATTTTTTCTGCATGTTTTGCATAACCTCCCCAAAATCTAACAAAGGGCTGAAAATGTTGGCTTCAATCCCTCTGTGATGTCGTCTTGTTCCTGTCATGTCCCTGTGGACTTCCTCTTCTTCTTTTTAAAGTGTAGCCTCTGATTTAAAAAACACACTTGCCCTGGGACTGGTGATCCGACAGCTTATGAGGAAGCATTAGGAAGAGATGACGGAAGCCGTGGTATTGGTCCCCCAGCATGGGGCAGGTGCATGGCTGCTAAATAAACAGCATTGGCTGGTCTGGTATATGACATCACCATCCATAAGAGATGCTGCTATCTATTCAGCAACCAGTGCTGAGATAGTAATTGTCCAGTGCACCCATATCTGCCTAAACGGCACCGAGTTCTCAATCATTCATTCTGCCTACACCCCTTCATTCAAGCACTGCTGCACTTCACATGGAAAATATTACATTCCTTAGGAAGTTGTGATTGGCTACATCTCCCTATTGCACAGAACATCTGTAACAGCAAATCTAGATTTCCATACTCCATGAAACAGCTCTGATGCACCAGAATGGGCTGGCGATAAAAGGTTAGGAACATGCAACCTTTATAGGTCAAGGCACAAGAATACATTACAGAAAAGATAAGTTGATATGATGTCAATATACTTCTACATCAAGCCCAAACACCATCATTGGAGAATAAAAAATGCTGTGTTACACAGATATAACTGGCAGGGCACAGCCAAGGGCAACCCATGTCCCACCAGCCTAAGAGAGGAAGGAAAACTTACCTGTCAAAATCTGATAAGCATTTATAACAACAGGGACCTATACTGTATAATTCATCAGCATATTTGTATTTTGAAAATATGCATTTAATTTTATATTTTTTTCAGTGCACTGGGAACTGCAGATTCCCCAGTCTGTTACCCCTCCAGGTCTGGAATATGACCATCACCTCTCCTATAGGCTATAACTATCAGAATTCCAGGAAAGCAGGTGAGAGAAGATGGGGCATGGGACCAAAAAGGGAATATAATTCCAGTTTGTAATATGCACAGCCATGTACAACTGGCAACATGGCCACTACTCTTGGTATGTGAATGGCCCTTGCCACTTTTCTTAAGCTTTGGAGAACTGTAACGCAGTGGCATCTGGATCAGAGTCCAAGGTTACCTGGATTCAGCAGAAGACAGTGCTTCTGTACCTAAAATAGCTGTGAGTAAAAGAGGATGTTGGCACTTGCTGAAGCAACCTCTTCTATGCAGCTATTACAGGTATGGGAGCCCAGCCCCCCATTACAACTGACCACGCTATATCAGAGTCTAGGAAGCCTGTAGATCCTACGGAAGAGAAGAGGTGGAACAAGAGAAGCAATACTGGACCAGCTTTGCTTAGTGATGGGGGTTCCCCTCTCCACACAAAGGGGTTCACCAGAGCCATATTACACAAAAGTTTTCTGTAGTGATATTTCTATAACATACTTAGCCTTGTGATTATGAAACACGCATTATTGCTTACTTTGACTGGCCTCTGGTTCCTAATCTTCGTGTCGTTAACTGTGGAAACTGTTGTCTTATTATCTGTAAATAATATTCATATGTTAAGAAACATAAAATCCCATGCCAATCATGTATATTTAGCAATGGCTTATTTGAGGAGAAAGTAAGAAAAGGAATTAAAATTGACTGGAAAGGAAACAATTCATTTATAAAGAGCTGTTTTAGAGTCACTTATTTTACACCACTGGAACCTATTCAGAAGCACAAATATATTTTCATGCCACTTTCAAGAACTTGCAATTATACTATAGTTCAAAAATTGTTCCGAATGCATATATTAAAGAAAAATACACATAAAATGCATCATATGTGGGAAATTGCTTGCAAAAAATGTGCACACTTGGAAAAGAATGGATAAAATTGCAGTCATTATGATATATGATTGTTATTTTGTCTGCAGCTGTGCTAGTTTATATATTTTGAAATTTCCCTACATTCAATAAATAATCATCTATAAATAAAGTAGCTGGAAGAGAAGATTATTGGCAGAATATACTGTTGATGTACTGCAAACATTAACTTACAGGAATGGCTTTGCAATTAAAGTTCTACCACAGGTAACAATGCTGAAATACAGTATACAGAAATAAAACTACATAAACATCACAGGAAAAATTAAGAAAAAAATGTAGGGTTATTTTAATTAGATGAGCCAAGTTTGAAATAGAGTGCTTTCTGTGTTTCAAACTGGAAAACTGAACTTAAACTACAAATATGCCTGCTTCATTTTTAATTTTCCCTGCAGGACTCTTTAGGTGGAATCACACTGGAACTTAGCTGATTAAAATAATCTTTTGCACCCATTTCACCACCACCCACACTTTTTTTTTCTTTTTCTTTTGCTTCTTGTTACAAGTGGCACCCTCAACATAGTCTGAAGTAATGTCAGAATGATCCGTAAAGTCATCTGAGTCAAAGCTGCTGGGTAAAAAGAAAAGCGTCACGTAAGTACCATCGACGTGCCATGATTATTTATCTTCCATTTTTACCACATTTGCTTATTTATGTATTTATTAAGTGACAGGGAACCAACATGCCTTGTTTCACGAGCCTGTCTGAGAACAGGGGAAAATGTCACAGAAGCATGAATTTTACTGATTTAGTACGGGTTTAATTCTGAAGTAAGGGGGAAGAAATCAGCAAACAGAAAAACACTTTTGTGGAGCTGTGAAAGTTCAGGCTAGCTATTTGATAAATGAGCAGACAGGCAGGCAGCCTCTTTCTCTAGCTCTGTCTTTTTGTACGGATTCAATGAAGCCTACCTAAAGAACACCACATGCTGTTCCAGCTACTGATCTAACATTCCGCAACATCTCACCCTTCCAAATTCTCTTTAATTACACATTAATCCCACCCCTCTCTCTTTCAGTTTGTGCAGACAGAGATGGGGGCACCCAGGGCCTATGGGGGAAAAAAGGCATTTTCTGGGCTTTCCAAGGGGAGCAGGGTGTCTGTTGTCATTTAGAAGGTATGACAACTACTCCTCAAACAGGACTTTTCTTTAACCACCCTAAAGTCAAATAAAACATCCCGGTTTATTCTTATTGTCTCTCAGAATTTGCAAAACAATACACTTCTATTTATTCTTTAAGAATGAAAGGTCTGGAGCCCCTGTCAACGGGATGTTAAAAATCAAAACTTAGGCTGTGCATCACACTGGGGATTCCCAAATGAGGATAAAGCCTGAATCCCCTTTAGTGTTATGTTAGCTGTGATCCAATAGCAGTAGCAAAAATTGTCCCCTTGTAATGGATGGGGAACTTACATTGTAATGGGGGATGGTTATTTTTATTTTTGGACCAAAAAGGAGGGATCAACCTTCCAAGAACTACCAGTCTTTTGATAGAAAAAGGGACACCCACCCAACCCCAGAACAAGACTTCCTTAAGAACAGCTATCTTGATTCTGCCAAATGGTCTAGTGAGATAGGCAGTGAGGATGGGGTATTTAGTAGTAGCACAAAAAAGCAAGACAGGGGCCAGGGTTTATGATAGGTAGGTGTGGATATAGAGGGCTGGGGGAGGTAAGTGGCATTTTGGTGGGCTGCATGCAACCCTTTCACCAGGGGCTGTACACCCATTATGTAGTCTGGTGTCATGTTTTCTGTAATGGTCTCTGAAGACATATAATATTGGATACCTTTTTCAGCTGTGTTCTTATTTCTTACTCTGATATTAATATCAGACTCAGGCCTTGGACAAATCCATCTGGGTTGATTTTGAAAAGTTTAATATTTGCCAAAGGAATTTGTGAAACTCATCCAGAGAAAATTTTCCTCACTGGAACCTCAAAATAAATCTTCATGTGCACAATGTTCTGTCAACAGTTTATTTCTTCTCTGAATAACAACAATATGTATGGGGAAAGTGTAGGCCTCTGGAATGAGGTACCCCCAAGATCTGGGTGGCCCCCACTCTGCTGTTGTTCAGAAGAGCGGTGAAGACCTGGATCTTCACCCAGGCCTTGGCAAGGGAGAGAGGGAGACCCCTTCCTTTAATCCATCTGGTCTGCTGCACTTGCCAGCTTTTATCTATTATTGATTCTACTGTAATTTCTTTGTTTGATCGTTGTGAGCCGCCCAGAGTTGTTGGGAGTCAGGAGGCATACGAGTTTAATACAGTTATTATTATGATGGTTGGTCGCACAGTCTGCCAGATGTTTAGACTGGATTTGGGATTTTTATCCGATGATGAT